GGAGTGCAGTGGCCGCTCCCGGCCACCGCCGCCTCGACCTGCTGGGCTCCGGCGATCCTTCCGCCTCAGCCTTCCAAGTAGCTGGAACTACAGGCGCGCGCTACCACGCCCGGCTAATTTTTGATTTATTGTAGAGATGAGGTCTCGCCAAGTTGCCCAGGCGGGTCTCGAACCCGCGGGCTCAGGCCATCCACTCACCTCAGCCTCCCAAAGTGCTGGATTATAGGCTGAGCCACCGAGCCTGGCTTACGTCTCGTTTTTAAAAATATATTTGCTGAGCCCAGGTTTGTAATTTAACTTATTTAAAACTAACAAGCAGTGCGCCAAGATCAGAAAGCGTCTAACTCCCAAAAGGGGCAAACGTGCTTTAAATCATCCAGTTGCGAAAAGCAGCCAGAGCCGGGAGACTCGCGCCCATTAATTAAGTGCTTGACCGAGGGCCAGAGTCGCGCCGGCCGGCGGAAGCCACGAAGCGCGGGGCTGGAAGGCTCGGGGCTGGCCTCGCCGCCCTCCTTCCATCACCCCGATCCCTGGGCCCTGAGCTCTTCCGCAGAAGCCCAGTCGGTCTACCCAGTGGAGTCAACTTCCGGCAAGCCTGCCGCTTCCGTGCGGGGCAGCCGCTCCGGCAGGTCCTCAGCGGACCGGAAGTCCGTCAACGTTCGCTCCCCGCCCCTCTCCGGAAGTGACGCACGGGCGGGGTTGCCGGAAGAAGTGGCGAAGTTACTTTTGAGGGGACTCGAGTAGCGGCGGTGTGTCAGGGGCTCCAGAGGAGGAGGACGAGAAGCAGAGCGAGGGGACGGAGGCAGGTGCACCCCAGAGCCGGGGGCCGCGGGAGGACCCGCACGCGGGGCTTCTCGGCGTTCCCCGCGCTGCTGTGCCCGGCCCTCTTCTCTCCTTCCCTTCCCTCCTCTCCGTAACTCGCGCTTCCCTCGGCTGTTTCCAGGGCAACGGGAGTAGAAGACCCGACGAGAGGCTGTCCTCGAGACCCCCACGCGCAGCCATGAGCCCCGCCCCCCACTGGTGCTCGGAGAGGGGCGGGACCTGGAGCGAGGTGTGGGGGCGGGGCGTGGCGGGAGGGGGCGGGGCGCGGCGCGACGGGCAGGGATGGGGCGGCACCCGGGGGGCGAGATGGTGGGGGTGAGGCTTGGAGGAGGGGCGCGGATGCGGCGGGGCAGGGTGTTGGGGGCCCCCTAAAGGGGGGTGGCGGGGGCAGGACCTGGAGGGGATGAGGTGGGTCCTGGGGGGAAGATATGTGGGCGGAGCATAGTCGGAGGAGGTGGGGTCAGAATGGGAAGCAGGGGTGTGTCCTCAGCAGAGAGGAGGAGGAGTCTCAGTAAGAGTAGGTGGGGTGAAACTTGATCGGAGGAAGGATGCGAGGGCAGGGGTCAGGTCTGGAGAGAGCAGGGGGAGGGGCCTGGAGGGGCGGGGCCTGGAGCAGGGGCGGGGCTTAAGGCAAGTCGCAGGCTGGGCTGGAACAGAAGGGGGCGTGCCCTGTTAGAAGGGTGGGATAGGTTTGTAGGCCGGCAGGGACCAGGGTTGTGGGGGGAGTGTGACCTCTGTGTCATAGCAAGAGTCTGGGAGAGATGGACGAAGGAGGGGCACCCCTGTCAGGACCTGCACCTGGCTGGACCCAGCCCTTCCTAGCCCCACGAGGCCCTCAGCCCCCCCGTATTCTGCAGGCTGCTCCGTGACCCCCACCATGTCCTCCCCCACCACGAGTTCTCTGGACACCCCCCCGCCTGGTGAGTGACCCTCTTCCCCTCCCAGCCCTTATCACACGGCGGCAGGAGAAGCTCACGGCCTCTCTCTTGGTTTCCTCCCTCCCCAGGAAATGGCCCCCCTCAGCCCGGCACCCCCTCTTCTTCACCCACTGTAAAAGAGGAGGGTCCTGAGTCGTGGCCCAGGGGTCCTGACCCGGATGAGACCGGCTCAGCCAGCGGCGTGGGTGAGGCAAGGCCCAGGGAAAGGGGCCTGGGAGTTGCTGGGAGCTTAGGGAGCGGCTCAGAAGGGAGAAAGAAAGGGAGATGGGGAGAGGGGAGGCTCCTGTGGCTCGCAGATTTTTTTCCCTTTCTCCTTGACATCTCATCCTTCGCTCGCCATCCTGTGGCTCTCCGGCTCTCCGCCTCAGGATCTCCTGCGCGCCTGTCCCTCTGGCTGCTGTTTCTCCTCGTGGCTTGCTCTCACGGCCTGTCTCCCCACCCCAGTCATCCCGGACCCCGAGGAGGAGCCGGAGCGCAAGCGGAAGAAGGGCCCGGCTCCGAAGATGCTGGGCCATGAGCTTTGCCGCGTGTGCGGGGACACGGCCTCTGGCTTCCACTACAACGTGCTCAGCTGCGAAGGCTGCAAGGGCTTCTTCCGGCGCAGCGTGGTCCGCGGCGGGGCCGGGCGCTACGCCTGCCGGGGCAGCGGAACCTGCCAGATGGACGCCTTCATGCGGCGCAAGTGTCAGCAGTGCCGGCTGCGCAAGTGCAAGGAGGCCGGGATGAGGGAGCAGTGTGAGTGCGGTGGGGGGGTGGTGTCGCCAGCCCCCGCCCGCCTGGCCCGGGTCTCTGCTGAGGCCTGTGTCCCCCACAGGCGTCCTCTCCGAAGAACAGATCCGGAAGAAGAAGATTCAGAAGCAGCAGCAGCAGACACAGTCGCCCGGTGGGCCGGCAGGCGGCAGCAGCTCAGCCTCTGGGCCCGGGGCGTCCCCCGGAGGACCCGAGGCCTGCGGCCAGGGCCCGGGGGACGGCGAGAGCATCCAGTTGACCGCTGCTCAAGAACTCATGATCCAGCAGTTGGTGGCGGCCCAGCTGCAGTGCAACAAGCGCTCCTTCTCTGACCAGCCCAAAGTCACGGTACTGCGCCTTCCACGGCCTGGAGGGTGCCCCTTGCCAGTGGGGGAGCTGGCTGGGCCTGGCAGGGTGTGAGAAGAGGGTTCCTGGGGTGTGGTCCTTGCCCCAAGGCGTCCCCCACACACAAAGGCTGAGTCCCGGGTGTGACCCCGGTCTCCTGTGTCCCAGCCCTGGCCCCTGGGCGCAGACCCCCAGTCCCGAGATGCCCGCCAGCAGCGCTTCGCCCACTTCACAGAGCTGGCCATCATTTCAGTCCAGGAGATTGTGGACTTCGCCAAGCAGGTGCCTGGCTTCCTGCAGCTGGGCCGCGAGGACCAGATCGCCCTCCTGAAGGCGTCCACCATCGAGGTAACAGCCAGGCTGCCCATCCTTGGCAAGGCCCTGCCCTTCTGCCCACAAGGAGCCTCAGAGCTAGCTCCAGGACAGATGCTGGGAGTGGAATGACGAGTAGGAGCAGTCCTTGCCCTCGCGGGAGTGACACTCCACAGGGGAATGGCCAAATGCTAAACACCATGGTTGTAGCCCCCTGTGAGCCTTCGAGAAAAAGGAAAGAGAGGCTGAGGCTGAGAATAACCGAGGATGGGGCTGGAGGGACCACTGTAGAGAAGAGGTGCCAAAAAACTTTTGGAGGTGCTGGCCTTTGAACCAAAACAAAGGTAACGAATAAGTATTGAGTGCCAGGCTCCATTCCAATTGCTGGCATATGGAAGAGAACGAAGCAGATGAAAGTCCCTACATCAGAGCCTTGCACCCACCTGGGGTGGGAGGGGGTGCAGCATGTGCTGAAGCCTGGAGCCGGGAAGGAGCTTGGAGTGTCCGACCTGCTGATGGGGTGGCTGAGAGACAGAGCGCGGGGTGAGGGATGATCCTGGCAAGACAGGACCCCCATTTGGGCCAGGAGGGGAGAGACTAGCAGCTCAAGGGTTACAGGCCTCCCTCGACTTCCCCCTGCCACCCTCAGATCATGCTGCTGGAGACGGCCAGACGCTACAACCATGAGACAGAGTGTATCACCTTCCTGAAGGACTTCACCTACAGCAAGGATGACTTCTACCGTGCGGGTAAGGCCAAGGGCGGGCTTGCAGGGAGGGTCGGCTCCCCTGCTGGCTGGGAGACTTCAGGCCAACTGGGCCTCTGTTTCTGTATCTCTGAAGTAACAATGAGGGCTGAGCCATCCTGAGCACACATGTCAGGCATGGTGGTGGTACCTGTGGTCCCAGGAGTCTGAGGCAGGAGGATTGCTTGAGCCTGGGAGTGAGTTCATGAACAGTCTGGGCAACACAGCGAGACCTCACCTCTACAAAAAATAACCAAATCAGCCTGGCGTGGTGGTGTGCACCTGCAGTCGCAGCTACTCAGGAGGCTGAAGCAGGAGGATTGCTTGAACCAGGGAGTTTGAGTCTGTGGCGACCCATGATCATTCCACTGCACTCCAGCCTGGGTGACAGAGCAAGATGCCATCTCTAGAAACAAAAACACATTTCCAGGGCACCAGCTCTGTATAGTGGGATGCAGTGGTGCTTGAGACAGAGGAGGCTGTGCTGTTGCATCAGGCGTCTTGGTGGGACTTAGGAATCAATTCCAATTAGGAACCCAACCCTTCTGTCCCAAAACCTGGCCTCACCCGAGGGTGATAGACTGAATCCCAGTCCACTGAGAAGGCTGCAGCCTCCTCATAGGGCAGCACTGGTTCCTGGCCTCCGGGATTGCTTACCCGGGATGTCACCTCAGCAGGTGGGCTTCTGAACAAGGGCAGCTGAGCTGAGGTCTAGGCAGTAAGAGGCGCCACCTACCAAAAGGGGCCAGGGAGTGGCACTGCCTGTTGCTGTAGAACATGCGCGAAGGCCTCGCCGCTCCCTCATCCTCTGGGCTTTCTTAGTAAGTGCCACCCTCTCCCTGGGGACCTCTGCATTTCCGGACATCTGCTCCTAACCCCACCTTCTCTCCTTCCTCTGACTCTGACCTGTCTCCACCCAAGACAGTCCCAGTCGTGTGAGCTTAGCAGGACTTGGAGGAGAAGTGTTACCGGCAGGGCCTGCCTGGGCATGAGCAAAGGCCCTGAGGTGGGGACGGCCGGGCAGTTCTGAGGAGCCACCCGAAGGCCCTGCAGCTGCACACAGGGAGATGGGGCTGGGGAAGAGATCGGAATCCCACCTCTTCCCACCCCTCCTCTGCACTTCTCCAGCCTGGGCTTCAGTCATTTCTTCCTGGAATGTTGCAGGGACTCCTACTGGGCTCCCTACCTCTACCCCTGCCCGATGTGTCTGTCCACAAAAGGGGCCTGTCAGCATCCAAGTCAGCTCATGCCCCTCCTCTGCTCAGAACCCTGCATGCTCCTGACTCACTGGGAGGAGTCAGTGTCTGTGGCCCACCATGCCCTTCGGGATCTGGCCTCGTTCTGCCTCAGCCCCCCATCACTATCCTCCAGCCTCCTGGCTCTCACTCGGACCCACCATGCATGCTCCTGCCTGGGGCATTTGTACAAGCTCTGCCCTCTGTCCAGAACTCGGGCAACCAAAAACTGGACAGCCCTGAAAGTCTCGTGGCCCGGGTAGCCCTCTGCCCCGACCCCCAGCCATGGAAACAGCCGCCTGGTCACCCTACTGGGAATACTCAGAGCCTGGTGACTCCATCCCTCACCTCCTTCAGGCCGGCCGTTGACCAAATGTCACCCTCCAGCGAGGCCTTCCCTGCCCACCTTGTGTGAAGTGTAGCCACGATTCTCAGCGATCCTGACTGCCCTTCCCAGCCCTGTCCTGTCCTGGAACTCCCCACCATCTGACAGGCCGGGTGTCTTACTGATGTGTCTGTCACCTGCCCCCAGATCACTGAATATAAACTCTGGGAGACCGAGGACTTTGTCATGTGAACAGCTCTACCCTGGGGCCTGGCATGGACGTCTGATGAATTGACTGCATGAATGAGTCAGGCTTGGGAATGAGTTTGGGCTTTTCCAGAACACTGGAAGCCACCACAGGGACTGACACGATGTGACTTAGGTTTTTTATTTGTTTTGAGTTGGGGTCTCACTGTGCTGCCCAGGCTGGAATGCAGTGGCAAGACCATGGCCCATGGCAGCCTTGATCTCCTGGGCTCAGGTGATCCTCCTGCCTCAGCCTCCTGAGTAGCTGGGACTACAGGTGCACACCACTTCACCCAGCTAATTAAAAAAAAAAATTTGTAGAGATGTGGTCTTGCCATGTTGCCCAGGCTGGTCTTGTACAACTGGGTTCAAGCCATCCTCCCACCTTAATCTCTCAAGCTGCTGGGATTACAGGCGTGAGCCACAGCACTTGGCCTGACAGGTTTTATAAACTTGGCTCTGCCTTTCACAAGGGGACCAGGAAAGATCCCAGGACACCAGGGGATGCTGCAGTCACTCCCCAGGCTCCCTGGAAGTGGGGGTGGTGACAGAATAATAGAAAATACTGGGAAATGTTTGCTCTCATCATTCACTCCTTCATTTAGGCAAGATTCGTGGCACACCTGCCATGTGCCAGCGCTCTTGTAACCGCGGGGACACGGGGGCAGAACGGCAGGACTGCTGTTTCCTCGCCCACTGCATGAGTGGTGCCAGGGCATGGGGGGAGTCCCAGCTGAGGCTCTTTCCCCGCCCCGCCTCAGGCCTGCAGGTGGAGTTCATCAACCCCATCTTCGAGTTCTCGCGGGCCATGCGGCGGTTGGGCCTGGACGACGCCGAGTATGCCCTGCTCATTGCCATCAACATCTTCTCGGCGGATCGGCCCAACGTGCAGGAGCCCGGCCGTGTGGAGGCCCTGCAGCAGCCCTATGTGGAGGCCCTGCTGTCCTATACGCGCATCAAGAGGCCACAGGTACAGGGGCCACCCAGGACCCACGGCCCCAGTGCAGGCCCTGGCCCCTGGGGCATGCGGACTCGGGGCAGCTCTGCCTCCCGCCGCTGTCCTGGCACGGAGGAGCCAGACCCACTCTGGGACCGGGCGAGCCCCACACTGGCTCTCTCTGCTGGGCTGGGCTGGCCTAGCCAGGAGCCCCACGCCCACCTACCCCTCCCCTCGCCACAGGACCAGCTGCGCTTCCCACGCATGCTCATGAAGCTTGTGAGCCTGCGTACGCTGAGCTCCGTGCACTCGGAGCAGGTCTTCGCCCTACGGCTCCAGGACAAGAAGTTGCCGCCTCTGCTCTCTGAGATCTGGGACGTCCATGAGTGAGGGGCCAGCCACCCAGCCCTGCAGCCTTGCCTGATCACTCTCCAGCACACAGACCCTGCCACCTCTTCCTCTTCCTGGGGTGGGAGGGACCCGGCTGGGGCTGTGGCATGGAGCCCCGGCTGGCCCCCAGCCCTCCAGATGAGTGCCGGTCAGGGTCCAGGAGTCTCCCTCCCAGCCCACCGAGTCTTCCAGAAGGGGTGGAAGGGTCACAGGTTCCAACCTCTGGCCGCTCCCAGCTGCCCTCCCCGCCAGCTTCCACCTCAAGCCCTCCTAGTGGTGCACCTTGAACAGAGGAGGGGAGGGCCCGTGGCTCTCCCCCACAGCCAGAGAGACTATAGGCCCCCCCCCGCTCCTTTTATTTAATAAACACTAAAAACAAAAACAAAAATAAAATATGAATACAAGCCAGCCCTGAGCTGGAGTTTGAGAAATGGAGAGGGATGGGCTTCCGGGGTCTTCACTGAGACCACGGCCCTGAAGCCAACTCTGCAGGCTGGACCTGGGGTCTCCCCAGGCTGGTAGGGGGTGACCCAGACAGTTGCCGGGCAAAGTCATGTGCGCTGGCTGCTGTGGGAGTCCAGGCAGGTGCCTGACAGTCTCAACGTCACCTCCCTGTGCAAGGTGCATTATAACCCACTCTTGAAGGATAAATAGGATTTAAGTGGATGAAGGGACCTGGACTTTTGTGCAGTCAACAAGTGTTGGCCAGTCTAGAGACAGACGTCATTCACCCAGCAAGTGTTGATGGAGCAGATACTGTATGTCAAACAGTTTTAGGTGCTGGAAGCATCAGTGAACAGATAAGGACCCTCCTACCAAACAGTGGGGGGATGGATGGGGACAGAACGGAAGGGAAGAGGGGATTTCATGGGGCAGCACAGGGCAGGGAAGGAGCCAGAGGAATTCAGGCAAGGTGTCACGAAAGAGGCGATGTCCGCGCTGAGACCTAAAACATAAGAAGGGGGAGCTGGGCCTTCAAGTGGAGAGAACACCACGTGCAAAGTCCGAAAGAGACTCCAGCGAGTTCCGAGTAAGGGCAAGTCATGGAGTTCTTCCAATTCCTTCTTGCCCCTGCCAGGTCCTCAAGGGGTACCGATGTGATTTTTTGGGACGCTCCTGGTCGAGAGTGAAGGGAGCTCGCATGGAGGGATGGGCTGAGTCTGAAAGGTACACTTACTTGGCGCGGGGGATAAGTGACAGCGGAAATGAGAAAAGTTACAAACGATCACCGTATCCCAAGAAGTGTAGTGGGCGCCCCGTTGGTGTCCGCAACGTGTGCCGAGTCGCGTTTACAGATGGGGAAACTGAGGCTGGGAGACAGGAGAACAGGCCAGAGCCCAACCCCGGATCGACAGGGAGGGCGGGTCAGTCCGCGGAGGCATTGTTGGGCAGCGTCCAGACTTTCCTCCCGATGCTGTCTCCGGCTAGGGAGGGGAGCCGGGCGGAGGATGCGCGCGCAGCGCGCTCGGTGGAGGGAGGGGGAGGGCGCTGCGCGCGCAGACAACACGGGGCCGTGACCGCTGCGGCGAGGAGGCGTGGTTTTGTTCCTTACGTCACGAGGAGGCGGGGTTAGCAATCTGTCAGGAAGGGGGTCGAGGCTAGTTCCCCGCTGAGAGGAGGGGCGGGGCCCAGTTGAACAAGTGGGGCGTGGTTATTGCCCGTCGGGGCGTGGCCTCGCCGCACGCGGGCGGGAAGGGGCGTGGCCCGGCGGCTCTGGGCTTGCGCGCGCCGGCGTCAGGGGTCACGGCGGCGTAGGCTGTGGCGGGAAACGCTGTTTGAAGCGCGTGAGTACAGGAAGAAGGGGCACCAGGGGGACTCCACCTGGAAGGGAAGGAGGCTTGAGGGCCCGGGCTCCGTAGGCTTGAGAGAGGGTTGTGAGGGGCCGCGTGGGATGTGGCGGCGGGAGGGATCCCCTCGGCCCGGGGGCAAGCAGAGCGGGGCAGAGGCCAGGGGTCTCCGGGGCGCGTACGCGGCGACGCGCGGGAACACGGCGGGGCGGGGCCGGGAGGCGGGGGGCTGCCTGGTGCACGTGCGGGCGAGGCTCACCCTGGACTCGGTAGGTGCGTGCCGTGCCGGGCGCTGCTCTAGGTGGGGGAACTGCCGCGGGAACGAGTCAGAGAGGGTCCCCGCCTCGAGGCAAGACGGACGGTAAACAGGGCACCTCATAAAGCCGTGCTTGTAGGCTTGAGGAAAACCAGACGCGGACGTGTCATGACCCACGGGGCCGTCTGCTTCGTTAGCCAGAGTGGCCGGGAATCGGCCTCTCCAGGGAAGGGACATTCGAGATGAGACGTCAGCCCTGAAAGGAAAGATCCGGGCAGAGGGACCCTCGAGTGCAAAGGCCCTGAGGTCGGGAGGAAAGAGAAGTACAGATGACGTCAGAGGGGTGTGATGGGGGAATCCTTGGCGTGGGCTTTGGCCTTTATTCTGGGTTCAGCGGGGAACCATGGAAGGGTCTGGGCATGAGAACAACGAGATCTGCCCTGTGTTTTGAAAACCTCACTGGTCGCTGCGTGGAAATCGGATTGTCGTGGGAGGGGTGTGGGCAGTGGGTGGCTCCCCCCGCCTTCGTGCCGTGCAGGTGGGGGGAGACGGCTCTGGTTGTTTTTGGGAGTGGAGCCATTAGCACTGGCCTTGAGGGTGAGAAGAGGAGACCAGGATGACTCCTGGGTGTGTTTTTTTTGTTTGTTTTTTGTTTTGTTTTGTTTTGTTTGAGTTGGAGTCTCACTCTGTCGCCCAGACTG